AGTGACCCCCATGACCCAAAAAGGAAGAAGCAGGTAAAGATAATGGATGGATGGATGGATGGATGGATGGATGGATGGATGGCTACTTTCAGCTTCTGCTCAAATCAGCTTTTTTTCTGCTAACTCTTTTTCCAATGTCTGCCTTTTGTGTTTCTTTCTAACCATTTCAACTTTTTATGCTCCTTTCAGTTCTTTCTGCTAATTTCAGCATTTTGTTTAATCCGTTTAGCCGCTCTCTGCCTATTTCAGCTTTTCCAACACATTTCTGTCGTTCTAATGCTTTCCAATTTTATCTTCTTGCTTTCAGCAAATGCAAGCTGTTCAGTTTCAACTTGCATGAATAGTTTAATGACGACACCTTTTCAGCCTGGTTTCAGCTTCTTCAGAACTTTCAGCAAAAATCATCCAGCAACACGCATTCACGCTACATTTTCACAGAAAATGTAATTTCTCTGGAAACGTTGCCCTTCTGTTGGGGCTAAACGTGCTAAAGATTCAGAACAGGGTGGCTGAGGTTCTCAATCTATTGTTGGGAACCTGGACTGTTACTGGGACAAAAGGTTTCCCTTTCATGTCCTTGCTCGCCCCCTCAGCCAGAGGACACGACCTGAACAGATTACTCCAAGAGCAAGTTTGTATTTATTTGACAAAGACGGCACCTAAAACTTTGTTGCATGTCAGAACAATGTTCCCGTTGCTCGAACTAAAGGCGAATTTGCAAACTTAGTCCTTGGTTAGGATAATAAAACTAAAATCCATGATGAAACTGGATGCTCCACACATACAGGCCATTAAACCAGCACAGCTAAGGACAGGAGACAAACAGGGGAATAAATTATTGCCCCAGCTGGTGTAAAACAGCGTCCACAGATTTGTTTCTCCTGAAAGTTAAAAACTGTTTTATTGATGTTGGCAAACTGTTCCAAATCAAGGAGTTCAAAATAAAAAAGTATTTTTTTAAATTAATTTTATTTATTTATTTTTTTTAGCAGAAGGTGACGTAATCACTCAGGAGTGGGGGGACACTTGTGCCCATCTTTACTGGAATAACTATGGAAGTCATAATGAGAGCTGGAAACACTCAACACACAAAAAGGAAAAGCTTTCACGAGTTTTAGACAAAGGTCGTTTTATGTTGAGAAAAAAACTGTCAAACTTCGAAAACGCGGCAAATTCACGCGATAATACAAGACGTCAGAGTATTTGTTGTGACCGACTCTCAGCTACTACCACATCAACTGTTAGCTCTTTACTGACTGAGTTATAGTCGCTTTTGTGTTGAATAATGTGGATTATCTGTGGCAGCCATCTTGAATTGAGTCCAAACGTTCATCAGTCGTAGATGAACATTCACCTTTTCCCTGAAAGTTTCATCAAAATCATCAGTGGGTCATGAGATATTTTGCTAACAGAGAAACAGAGTTGACTCCAAAAAGCTAACAGCATTCTAAACAAACATCTGTACTCAAAATGTATGTGGATATCAGTCTCAGCTACTACTAAGCCCAATTTTAGCTCAGTATTTGTTTTATTGCGAAAACTTTAGCCACTTTTTTTTTTTTTAAGTCAGATGGCTGTAGCGGCCATCTTGAATTAGGTGGACTCAAAATTAACCAGCTGTAGATGTACACCCTATGATTCCTTTCTGAAAGTTTTAACATTAGTCCAGTGGCTTATGAAATATTTTACTAACAGACACACAAGTTGTGATGTTGCCCAAATTGTCAACAGAAATATTTTTTTGTTAAGTTTATTTCTTTGTCCTGTTCAGAGTCAATCTGATCTCTGGTTGCTGAGACGACAGCGCTCACCACTTCACCACAGCGCCGTCATACATTTCACTATGTAAATTAAATTTGACTGAGATTAAAAAAAGGGGCTAAATATTAAGTGCTGAAACAGGATTTGGTCTGTGAAACTTATGGTAGTGGGAATTAAAAAAATGTGTTTTTGGTGTCTTGTCAAACACACACAAATGTAGGTTTTTATTTAGTTTTTGTTCCGAAAAAAGGTATAAGCTCAATCATCCAGGTAAATAAATCACAAAAAAAAGTTAAATCAACTTATCCAGATGACATGATTTAACTTTACATTAACTCCCATATTAAAAACGTTACTAGAGCTGCCTTCTTTCACCTGCGTGATATCACTAAAATTAGAAACATCTAAAAATGATGCAGAAAAACTGGTTCATGCATTTGTCACGTCTAAACTGGACTATTGCAATGGTTTGTTATCTGGATGTCCAAATACTTCTTTAAAACGTCTTCAGCTGATCGAAAAGAGTCTTAACTGGAGTTAGTAGGACAGATCATATTTCTCCAGCTTTAGCTTCTCTCCACTGGCTCCCTGTCAAATCCAGAATTTAATTCAAAATCTTACTTCTAACCTACAAAGCCCTCAACAACCTAGCTCCATCTTATATTCGAGATCTTATTGTCCTAAATTTTCCTAACAGAGCACTTTGCTCTCAGACTGCAGGCTTACTTGCGGTTCCTAGAGTTTCCAAAAGCAGAAAAGGAGGAAGATATTTCAGTTATCACGCTCCTCTCTTGTGGAAACAACTTCCAGTTTCTGTCCGTGAGGCTGACACATTGTCCAGTTTAAAGACTGGTCTTAAGACTTTCCTTTTTGCTAAATCCTATAGTTAGGGTTGGCTTGTTATGTTGCTATAGGTTTAGACTACTAGACGACAAATTGACCCAATTTCTTAAAATGAATTGGTAAAATTGAAGAGTTTTCATTTGATATTATTTCTATCTTTACATGTGATTCTCGACCTGCCATTGTGTATCTGTTCCTCCTTCCTGTTCCTCTCAAACCCAGCTGGTTGAAGCAGATGACCGCTTGTCCCGAGCATGGTTCTGCTAAAGGTTTCTACCTCATGAGGGATTTTTTCTTCCCACTGTCGCCTTCATGCTTGCTCAGGATGAGAGTCAGCGATGAAGTTAAACTCGAATCAGTCTGTTCCTCAGATAATTAATGTTAACTTACTTTTTATATATATGAATGTTTCTGTACAGTGACCTGAGATGACTTCTGTTGACTTGGCGCTATATACCGTAAATAAACTCGATTGAATTGAACCTTTTTTGTGGTTTAGTTTTTGTTCTCCTCACCATGTGCCAACAATTCAGCTCACTCGGCTGAAGGAAGCTGCGTGTCCCAACGTCGCAGCGAATCGCTTCCACTTAACTGCAAATGAAATCAAACAGAAGGGACTTTCCTGAGCAAGAAATCCGTCAGTCTCCCGCTTCATTCCTGTTGTCAAACATTTCTAAGAGTTTTATCAACTAACCACTGGTGAAACAGGTTTTCAGTCTGCTGTCAGACACATTCCCCTCCGTTGATTTACGTTGTCAGATGAAATGTTTATTGGATTTAGTGGATAAATAAAACCTGTTGAGACAATACACACTGGTTAAAGAGCCGAAATGGCGTGCGTGCTGCTTTTCACACACTTCCTGTTTCAGAAATCCGTGAAGAAACTCTAAACCGTAAGAAATGAGTAGTCAGCAGTGTTGTATCAACATCAGCACCATGGAAATGATGACTGTACTGATTACAGTCACAAAAAGCTGCCGCTTCTCATTTGAACCAAAATTATTTTATAGGCGAGCTTTGTTTTGGATTAACAAAATGAAAAGCTGTATTTTATATTAAGGTAAATAAAGAAAAATAATAATATAGCAAAAGAAAAAAAACAGTTTTTCTGTCTGAATTCTAGTTGAAAAGTTGTCCCATATTTGTTCAGGACTGGGGGAAGATGAAGTTCTCTGCCTGGACTGCAAGGACAAACATAATCAACCCGCAAGGTTACGCATTTAAACATCATCCCACCCTTGTGGCACAGATCGGAACAACTTGCCACAAGTTTTATCTTCCCCAAACACACTTTTTTTTTTTTTAAATTACAAGCAAAACCTTTGCCTTTATGTTTAGAAAGCTGCACGGTGTAGCTCAGATTTACCCAAAGGTCATTTTATAATTGATACAATTCAGAGAACCGTGGTGCTTCGTTAGACTTGTCCTGTTCTACATCTTGACCTGTAGTGAAAGATCAGTGTACAACGCAGGGGTTACGCAATGAAACAAACAAATCACCTCGGTAGTAAAATGCAAAATACCAGAACTCCCAGCAGAGATTTGCCTCAGTGCAGATGTTCAGAGGTGAGAGCTCCAGAAGACACCACTGGACTCAAACATACAGCAAACAAATAAATCTTACAAGACGCACAAATGAAACATGACAAAACTGACAAGGTGCTATAAAAGTACGCAGTCTGGGATGATAAGTTAAAACTCCTGTAGGAGATAAATTATGTAAAAACTAGGCCAGAACCAGTCTAACTGACTGGCACTTTCACAACATGCAACGAAGGCCATAAAAAGCTACATGAGCTGTACAGACAAAATAAGTCCTTATGAGAATTTTTTAAAATATTGAGTTATTTTCAAATTCTCCAGCTCTAAAGCGTCAACGTGATATGCATGTTGAAGTTTAGCAATCTGGCCTGGAAACAAGCCAGTTTTGTTTATGAGAGTACTGGTTAGAAGTTTTACTGGTCTGTCAGAGCTGCTGCCTTACATAGAGAAGGTCGCAGGATCACCAGTCAGCCTAACATGCATGTTTTTGGTCTGTGGGAGGAAACCCACACATGCGTGGAAAGAACATGCTAATTCCACACAGAAATGTGCCAGATCGGGATTTGATCCTGCAACCTTCTCGCTGAGAGGCAACATTACTACCAACTGTGCCACCATGCCATCCATGATCAAGAATTAAGGCCTTATATGTGAAAATGGAAATACCTAAACTTCACAACGACGCCAAACAATCCAAGGGATTTCAGGCACATCAGCAGACAGAGATAAATTGTTTGTTTCAAAGATACTTATACGGCTAAAAGACAAAATGATTATTTCTGAAATCATACTTCATAGAAAACTTTAATTTAAAAGGTACATTAGGAAGATGATTTCCTGTTTTAGTAAACAAAATTGCTAGATGGTGACTTCATAATCTCAAACATGAACAAATCTCAAATTAAATCCATATTTTCATTTATTTTTCTCCGTGCTTATTGCTTTTACCACCTCTAGTCACATATTTATAATAAAAGGAGGTTGAATTATTTAAATGATCCTGTAACCTGAGCTTTACATGGACGAGCTAGTTTTATAATCAGTTAATTGTTGTTTGACACAAAGCCATCAGTTTCAATTGTATAAATCTAAAATTAATATCTAAATGACAGAGATACACAGTAATCTGAAGTTAGACACTTTCTTGTGTAAAAATACAACACTCTGCAGAGTCAGCAGTCAATTCATTATATTATTTTTACACTTAAGAGTAACAAACAATCAGCAGGCTCGAGGGACGAGTCTCACTTCACCCCGAGAGCTTTGTCTAAAAAGTTTGCAAAGTTCTTTGGTTGTCCAGGCGGGAAGGGCTGCAGCACAGAGAGGTCCATGTTCCTGAGTGTTTCTGTCAGGGTGCTGAACCATTCCAGGAGAGAACAGTAAAGTAAAAACAGTTATTGTAGTTTTGTTGCTCGGCGTCACACGAGTGAAACCTGAACGAGGCTGTGAGACGATCATACCTGCACGTGCAGTACAGCAGGTGGTTGTCCGTGCGCAGCTGCCGGGCCAGCTCCAGTTGGTGGTTGTTCATCAGTTTGTCATTGACGACAACCAGCAGAGGTTTGCCGGCGCCAAGAGCCTCTAGACAACTTCCTGCTCCTGAAGAAGAAAAACAACAACAACAACAAAAAAAAAAACAGTATGTATAAAAGGTGTCCATTTAAAAGATAACAAATGTGCCGATATTAAATATATATGAAAGTTTTTATTTTCACTGAGTTTTAAAACAAACTCAAGTAATGAGATCGTTTTTTATAGACAGTATCATAAACAAAGGAAAACATTATTTCAGCAACGTTTGGAAACTGACCTCAATAATATATCTGTTTTAAAAGGTACTTCAGAAAGTGTTCACGTCTGGGCATTTTGCAACATGTTTTTAAAAAATTCAGAGAGAATTTAGAGACTAAAAAAATATAGTGTTTGACTCTGAACGTTATCGAGTAAAGTACCACTGCTGCACCGATACTTGAACTACCGGTATTTTCTTCCTTTTTATGGTTTTTGAATGTTTTTTCTTTTAGTTCATCTTGTTTATTCAGGCTGATGTTTAATATACCATATTATATATTACATTGGTCGAAGACCACGAGGAGGGAAACGTGTCAGGAGACAGAGGGAGAAGAGGAAAGTGAAGAATGTAGGACTGAGGGTTGCAACTCTAAATGTGGGGACAACGACAGGCAAAGGTAGAGAGCTGGCTGACATGATGCAGAGAAGGAAGGTAGATGTTTTATGTGTCCAAGAGACCAAGTGGAAGGGCAGCAAGGCTCGTCGCATTGGAGCAGGGTTCAAACTGTTTTACCATGGTGTGGATCGAAAGAGAAATGGAGTAGGGGTGGTCCTGAAGGAGGAGTTGGCAAAGAATGTAGTAGAGGTGAAGAGAGTGTCAGATAGGGTGATGTGCCTGAAGGTAGAAGTAGAAGGTCTGATGCTAAACATCCGTCAGTGGTTATGCTCCACAGGTTGGATGTGATGAGGAGGAGAAAGATACATTTTGGAAAGATCTGGATGAAGTGATAGAGTGTATTCCCAGGGAGGAGAGAGTGATGATCGGAACAGACCTGAATGGACATGTTGGTGAAGGAAACAGAGGGGATGAGGAAGTGATGGGTAGGTTTGGTGTCAAGGAAAGAAACCAAGAAGGACAGATGGTGGTGAATTTTGCCAAGAGAATGGAAATGGCTATAGTCAGTACCTATTTCCAAAAGAGGGAGGAACATAAAGTGACCTATAAGAGTGGAGGAAGGAGTACGCAGGTCGACTACATTCTGTGTAGAAGAGGAAACCTGAGGGAGATTGGAGACTGTAAGGTTGTGGCAGGGGAGAGCGTGACCAGACAGTATCAGATGGTTGTGTGTAAAATGACTGTTGTGAAGAAGAGAAAAAGAGTAAAATCAGAGAAGAAGACCAAATGGTGGAAGATGAAAAAGGAAGAATGTTGTGAGAAATTCAGAGAAGAGCTGTTAAAGGCTCTGGGTTGTAAGAAAGCTTCCAAATTACTGGGCTACTACAGCAACGGTAATTAGAGAGACAGGTATGAAGGTACTTGGAGTGTCATCTGGACAGAGAATGGATGGTAAGGAAACCTGGTAGTGGAATAATGAAGTGCAGGACGCCGTTCAAAGAAAGAGATTAGCCAAGAAGAAATAAGACAGTGAGAGGACTGGAGAAGAGACAGGAATATAAGGAGATGGGATATAGAGCAAAGAGAGAAGTAGCTAAGGCAAAGCAGAGGGCGTACGATGAATTGTATGGGAGACTGCACACTAAAGAAGGCAAAAAGGACTTGTACTGATTGGCAAGACAGAGGGATCAGGCTGGAAAGGATGTGCAGCAGGTTAGGCTTATTAAAGATAGGAATGGTAATGTTCTATCAAGTGAGGAGAGTGTGACGGGAAGATGGAAGGGATACTTTGAGGAGCTAATGAATGAAGAGAATGGAAGAGAAAGAAGAGTAGAGGTCATAGAAACTGTGGACCAGGAAGAGGGAAAGATTAGTGAGGGTGAAGTCCGGAAATCTCTGAAAAGAATGAAGAAGGGGAAGGCAGTAGGACCTGATGACATACCAGTGGAGGTTTGGAAATGTCTTGGAGAGATGGCAGTGAGATTTTTGAGTCAAATATTAAATGGCATATTTGACGGTGAGAAAATGCCTCAGGAATGGAGAAGAAGTGTGCTGGTGCCCATTTTTAAGAACAAGGGTGATGTACAGAGTTGTAGCAACTACAGGGGAATTAAGTTGATGAGCCACACGATGAAGATCTGGGAGAGAGTTGTGGAAGCAAGATTTAGACGAGAGGTGACTATCTGTGAGCAGCAGTATGGTTTCATGCCAAGAAAGAGCACCACAGATGCCATCTTTGCTTTGAGAATGCTGATGGAGAAGTACAGAGAGGGTCAGAAAGAACTCCATTGTGTCTTTGTGGATTTAGAAAAAGCATATGACAGAGTGCCGAGGGAGGAGGTGTGGTATTGCATGAGGAAATCTGGAGTGGCAGAAACGTATGTTAGACTGGTACAGGACATGTATGAGGACAGCAGGACAGTGGTGAGATGTGCTGTAGGAGTGACAGATAGCTTCAAGGTGGAGGTGGGATTGCATCATGGATCAGCTCTGAGCCCCTTCTTGTTTGCTCTGGTGATGGACCGACTAACAGATGAGGTCAGGCAAGAATCCCCATGGACTATGATGTTTGCAGATGATACTGTGATCTGTGGTGAGAACAGGGAACAGGTGGAAGAGAACTTGGAGAGGTGGAGGTATGCACTTGAAAGAAGAGGAATGAAAGTCAACTGTAGTAAGACGGAGTACATGTGTGTAAATGAGAGGGAGGAGGTGGAACAGTGAGGCTACAAGGAGCAGAGGTCACAAAGGTGCCGGACTTCAAGTTCTTGGGGTCCACTGTCCAGGAAAATGGGGAATGTGGTAAAGAAGTGAAAAAGAGAGTCCAGGCAGGATGGAGTGGATGGAAAAAAGTTTCAGGAGTGATTTGTGACAAAAAGGTGTCAGCAAAAGATCAAAGGAAAAGTTTACATGACAGAGATGAGACCAGCTATACTATATGGTCTGGAGACAGTGGCATTGACAAAAAGACAGGAGACAGAACTGGAAGTGGCAGAAATGAAGATGATGAGGTTCTCCTTAGGAGTGACAAGGCTGGATAAGATTAGGAATGAGATCATCAGAGGTACAGCACAAGTTGAATAACTGGGAGATAAAGTTAAGGAGGCCAGACTGAGATGGTTTGGACATGTCCAGAGGAGGGACCGTGGGTATATTGGTAGAAGGATGTTAGAAATGCAGCTGCCTGGAAAAAGATGAAGAGGAAGTCCAAAGAGAAGCTATATGGATGCAGTTAGAGAGGACAAGAAGGTAGTTGGAGTGAGGACAGAGGATACAGAGGACAGAGTGAGGTGGAGGAGGATGACTCGCTGTGGCGACCCCTGTAGAGGGAAAAGCCGAAAGAAGAAGATGATTATATATTACATTTTATATTATATACACGTTTGTTCTGGCTGCCATTTTATACACCATATTATATTACATTATTGTTTAGCGTATATCTTAGATCCTTATATACAGCTTTTTTTATACTTTACATTTTTGCAATTTTTAGATGTAACTGGGACCTTGAGTACACAATTTTGTTCCACCTCATGTACCACATGTGATGCAAATGACAATAAAGAACATTGAACCTTGTCTTTACAGGTTTTTTTTTGTGTTCATGTTTATATTTTCATGACCTGCATATCCTGTGTGTGTGTGTGTGTGTGTGTTGTGTGTAATGCATCATATATTGCTGTTTTCTCTTCCTGAAAGTTTACATAATTAAACTTGTCCTTTTTAAATTAACAGGTCTGTATTGTTTCTAAGGAAAACGAACAGAGACAGACATCAGTCTCACCAGGTGCAACAATTAAATGATTTGTGGTATTATGACCTTAAAATATGTGCTTTAATAAATCAATCTGATCAAATCACGGCCTTTTGTTCCTGTTTTACATGAATATCTGAGACACTAAGCTCACCAGCTTGTGCACCAGAAAACCATTTTTTATTACCAGCCACCATGAAAGGAAGATGATAACGTAATTATTAGTTTCAGTATTAATTTGTCTGTGTGTTAGCAAAATATTTCAAGAACCTGTGAATGGAATTTATTGAAACTCAAGAAGTAATTGTTAGATGTGCAACTTTTGGGAGTCAACCCAATTCTAGAAAATGGCCATAATTTAGTCATTTCTATAGATATTGAGCTAAACTTGAGGAATAAAAGCCGAGAGTCATCCCCAACACATCCGCCAAGCTCACACAATATGTCCTGCAAGGCTGCATACATATGCTATGCTCATATGTTATAGCACAGCTCTCATATGCTATAGCATATGAGCTATATGCTGGTATTATATGCATAATATGCTCATAGCATTCTTTATTTTCATGTCACTATTTTATGATCAATTATATGAGGTCATAAACTAATGCAACAATTTTTTTTAATTGAAGTTTAAGTCAAACTGCTCTGTTGTGTTTGTTTCCGTCTCTGCACTGCTCCCACATCTAGTCCAAACTCCTGGTCTGAACTTTATTAATATCTTTGTGGACTTAAAGGTCAAAGTTATGTTGGGCTTTAAACCAAACAGTAAGGGTTTGTGCAAACATAAAATAAAGTGTTTAGTGGTGCTGATTGCCAGAGGAAGTTACAGTGAGAGAAATCCCAGGAGCTCAACTCAAGTTTGAGAAAGAGAACCACTGACCCACTCAGAGAGTTCATGTCTCTTGACCTAATTTATCAAACAGCTGCAGATCCAGGCCTAGGGTAATCAGTCCAAACAATAAAATGCTAAGTACAAACTACTGGGCGTGTTTTTACTTTGCCAAGGTCTAAATGAAGACCGAAACCATCAGCTGCAAGAAAACTGATTTAGACCTTGGAAAAAAAATTGCAGCTGAACAAAAAGTCTTCTTGTTGTCTTGAGGTGTTGAAAGAAGAAAAGGCAATTAAAGGTCAATATTACAAACTGCAGAGCAGGAAAGTTAAGCTCTGAGGTTGTTTAAATGTTGATAGAAAAATCTCTAAAGCAGGGTGTCCAATCCTGGTCCTCGGGGGCCACCCTGCACGTTTTAGTGGTTTCCCTGCTCCAAGACACCGGATTCAATGGTTGAATTACCTCTTCATGTCCTGCAGAACCCTGCTTATCACCTATTGATTCAAATCAAGTGTGTTGGAGCAGAGAAATATCTATGGTGGCTCTCAAGGACCAGGATCGGACACCCTGCTCTAAAGGGATTTGTATTGAGCCCTATCCTTCTGTGGCTATCAAACTTTTCAACTGCTCCCCCTTTCTATAAGACAATAAAATTAATCCTGCACTATAATTAGCTCTTCAATGTTTCTGTCTGCACCTGACCTGTTTTGGACCTTAATTGTTGACATTTCTATACCTTTGTTATTTTTTTATATCTTGTGTGATTCCTTTGTAATGATACTCTGGCACAACAATTTCATGCGGGATCAATAAAGTTCTTATCTTATCCTCTACTCTTTGTAGACTTTCGACTGATCACCAGCAGTCATTGAATCTATAGATTACACAATCATCAATGAGCAAAGAAACAGGCCACATCCTCTCCACTAATAAAACAAGAGGTGGAAAGGGTGCAGACAGTGTTTTAAATTCCTGGACATCCACATTTCTGAGGACCTGAGCAAACTTCTTCTGAGTCCCCAGGTGGGACGACATGTAGAAGAGGCTGCTGGTGGCGTTCTTCTGGGCTACCATCAAGCGCATCCTCACATAATGCACACCAGAGTGGTTCGCAGGTGGCTCTGTAGAGTCCTCGGATCTGCTAAAAAACGATCTGCACTCCCTGCAAGAACCCTCCACCTTACATCACATCAGCAAAGCAAAAAACCTCACCAAAGACCCCTCTCATCCTGATCACGGTCTGTTTGAATTGTTCAGCACAATAAATAAGACAAAACATTTAAATAAATATGCTGGATTTGATGCTGTCGTTTTCACATCAGCACAATCAATATGAAAAAAGTATAACAACTCCTGCTGCTGCCATCTACACAAAATGTTTCCTTTTACTATTGATGTCATTTTCACATAACAGCTCCTAGCAAGGAATACACATAAAGACATGTACATCTACAGATATGGATAAATTAGTGTGCACCGTTACGTTAAAGAAAAAAAAAAAAAAGCCAGAAAATGAACAGGCCCCAAACAACACAATGACCATATTTGATTCTTTAAATAGGCAGACTGATTACACAACTGAAGACACCTGTGGTGCTGACTACAGTAACATGTCCCTATGGTCAAATTGTTTTCAAGCTTTTCTTGTGAAACTGTTTTTTTAATAGTCAAGGCCACATAAAAGCAATGTCTTGTTTTCACTGATTGACTTTTAGTAAAACAAATTCTTATCAATATCAGTTTCAAGTTATGTCAATGACCTCTCTTTTATTTCCATCTTTTACGGAAGGGGTGCAAACATATTTGTCTATGCATTTACTTTTGAAATTTTGTGAATGTTTTATATTCTGAGTCATTTTTCTTGTCCTTATACCAAATGCATACAATCCCGTATTTTCATGATAAAAGCTTTCAGATCCAAACAAAGTAGAAAGAATAATGAAGATGGAAAACCCTCAACTACTATTTGACAAAAATCATGTCATCCTAGTCAACACAGTTTTTCAATCCCACATCCGTGACGTCACTCGTTCAGCTACTTTCACCTCTGTAACATCGCTCACCTCCATTCATCCTTCTCTTCTAACAGTACTGCTATTCTGGATCACTCTTTGGTCACAACCCACCTAAATTACTGTAACTGTCCTTTTTTTTGGTTTACCTGCAAAATCCATACATAAACTCCAACTGGTCCAAAACGTTGCCGCTTGCATCACCTCCAGAACCTCTTCCACCAGTCATAAACATAAACACCTGTCCTGCAGCATCTTCTCTGGCTCCCCATTCAATAAAGCATTTCTTATAAAATCCTGCTCCCATCTGTAAAGCCATCAACAACCTCCAATGTTTAAACAGGCAACTCTTTGTCACACTACCTGTATTTAATTTGTGTTAAGTATGATGTTTATATTTTATTTAGTTAAAACAATTGTTTACTGCATTTTATATAGAATTTTATTGTACTGTGTCCTTGAATGATAAGAAATAAAATGTATTATGAAAAAAATAATAATGTTAATGTTTTCTATTCAGGTTATCAACACAAAAAAACTTGTTTTGTCTCTTAATCTGTATTCCAGCTTTAACAGCTGAGAAGAATGAGTTTTCCTTGTATTTACTCACCTGCATGGCTGATGACCAGGTCAGCCTGTCTCATGTCCTCTGCTATCGAGTCTTTGAACCGAAAAGCCTCCAGTCTGAGGAGAGCACAGCTGTCAGCAGCTGGAAGAGAAGCTCCTCTTCCGACCTGAAGAACCAAGCGCTCATACCCGCGGGTCTTCAACACCTGATGAGGACAAGCCTTTCAGTGAGGACAGCGTTTAGTGCTACGTCACCTGTCTTAACTCACCTGCAGGGCCTCAGCGGATGTGACGCGATCGATCAGCTCGTCGAAGCTCGTGGTCCCGACGGTAACAAACACCGTCTTCATGGCCGCTCTCTGAAACTCGTCAATTTTTAAGGTTCTTGTCAAAACAGTTCCGAATGTTTACTTACTACTCGCCATCCCGACAGGATATTATTCACTATTGGCCAGCCGGTTGCTTCCGGTTTCTTATATGACGTCACACACCCCGAAAATTCCGCAATGGCGCCACCTGCAGGCCAGGAGAAGTTCATGCAGCTGCTGGGTCATGGAAAAAATTATTTTCCCTCCGTTGAAATACACCACCGGTTAACCAACTGATAGTCTTCAAAAAATATGAAAAAAAAATATATTTTTTACAATTATTAAGAATGATTGATTAAATAATTAAAAGAAAATTATTTAATAACCTCTAAGATGCTATTCCTCCTTTGTTTGTACAGAGCTGTAACAACTACAGGGGAATTAAGTTGATGATCCACATGACGACGATCTGGGAGAGTTGTGGAAGCAAGACTTAGACGAGAGGTGATTATTTGTGAGCGGCAGTATGGCTTCATGCTGAGGAAAAGCACAACACATAGGCGTAGCCAGGATTTTATGAGGGGCGGTTCGTTTGAAGAAAAAGTGGACCTGTAGGACTACTCTGATTGGTTCATTGGCGGTGGTACACATAACTTCAAATGTGTAAACAAGCTAATTAGCTAGCTAGTTAAAACACTGCTGTGTGAGGTAAATCTGTGTTACCAAATAGGCGGTTGTGAGTGGAGAAAGAGCAACACACTGAGAGGGGAATAGCGTGTGTGTCCAGTCTTCTATTCAGAACTCATCCCAGACACGAACGAACACTTCGGTACTCCCGAGTCCCGCCCGAACATACACAAAAAAAAAAAAAAAAACACCGAAGAAGAATGAAAGACGTCATCCTCTTAAAGGCACAGTACCACTCCTTAACTCTAACAACATAAATGCAAACTAAGCCCGCAAATAATAACATTACTTCAATTGCAAAAATAACTCATCTTTTTACTTTGCTTTGTTAGACATTGTTTTTTATGAATGAAATTAATGAATTGAAAAATACAATACAATCCACATCTACACATAAAAAAATGACACTATAGAGTAAGATTAAAATTTCTCAAGACAAATGTAGTTTTGCAAAACCTTTTTTTTTTACAATGCATAAGACAGTTTTGTCCAACATCTTATATCTCTGGATAGACAAGTGAGTCCAGCTCCATCCTCCTCGAGTGTTTGTTTGCAAACACATCAACAACTCTGTCAAGGTCAATGTGTTTGCTGTAGTGAATGTGAAGTAGTGCCAGTGATGAGAGACGCTCCTTCCCCATTGATGCCCGCATGTAGCTGTTCAGTCGACGAAGGGCACTGGCACTGCGCTCACACTCGCAGGAGGTGACAGGGAGTGTGCAGGCCAGTTGAAGTAGGACATGCAGGTTGGGGTACAGGTCTCGGTCACACTCTTTAATGGAACCTGCAGGGGTGTTCGGCCTCTGTGACCCAGGCACTCTGCCATACCTAGCAGAACAATTTAAACAAAAATGTTCTGTATAGCAATGTTGTAACATTCAATTTCTAAAATGGGCTTCTCAGGTGCTTAACTTCAAAATAACTTACTTCAACTTCCACCTTGTAATCTCTTGGTCAACAAGTTCTGGACTGGGTAGGTCTTCGGCATACATGCTCACAATCTCTGTGGTGTCGAGATGACGATTGCATATCACAGATGGCACTAGTCCCAACAAGGAGCTAGCTGTGGCAGACAGGGCTGAGTACAAGAAAGAAACTTTGTAAGAAACATACTTAAGTTTCAAGTTTTATATGTAATTTTTAACTTATCTGTAATTTTTTAAAATGTATTAAATTTTTATTTGTATGCTCTATGACCTCTGTAATATGTACACAATTGTTCAAAAGTTTTGGGTCAACCAATTAACATGTATTTTACCAAGAAAGCTCACACTTATGTAGTCAAATTAGTTTCAAAATGAAAAGAAAATATGTTCATCAAATTGATCAATTTGGACTGACTAACAGAAAATGCCACTGGAACACAGGAGTGATGGCTGAATAAAAAGAGAGTCAAGTGTGTATGCCTATATAATGTTTCTCCACCAGAGGGCGCACTGCAAAGGCTGAAAAAAAATCCTTGGGTCTTTGAAAAGTGGTGGTGGCTTCATACAAAATTAGTTTTTTTTATGCTTTTTAACATTAAAATGATATTATACATGAAAAATAAAGTTGATATTGCTTTAAAAACACCCATTTCCAGACATAACAGTCATTCACTGCATTGACTGTAGTTCTGATTACTTTTGTTATTTTAATTGCATAAAATTGTGATGTTTATTACAAAAATGTTTTGCCAGCAGATTCAGCATTACATGTATGCATATTGTCATTTATCCTAAGAAGATTATTACTACTATATTTCTTCAGCACTAGATGTTATTGATAAAAAAAATATGTATGAAAACAAAAATGCTAATAGTCTGGGGAAAAACAAAAACGTTGTAAAACAACCTTCATAATATGTATATAAAATAAAAAGTCTCAAAAGTGCAAGTTGACTTAACAATTTTCCTTTTAAAAATAAATTTCTTAATTGGAGTTAGAGATCATGAGTGAGTGTATTTGGTTTAAAATGTTCAAACAACATGCAAACAGATGGCATATCCAGTTACAGAGTCAAGTAGTTAGATGTTTGTAAATCTTCACAAGAGTAAAATTCTTACAAGAAAATTGAGCTTCCAGGTTTGTTATGATGTGTTCAAGGAATGGAATGGCAAGGTTCAGCCTGTAGTGACTGAACACATCTTCAGATGGAATGTTGCTCCGGTGCTGCTGACGCTTTGTGATGCGGGGCTTGCATGGTGTCACACCCACTTTGTCAGCCATACGCACAGCTTGGTCATAGACCAGTTGGAATGACTCCCTGACATCTTCCCTCAGAGATGTGTACACACATTGGATCTCAGACACCTGTGACAAAAAAACAAAACAAAGAACAAACAAAAAAATATTAAATGACAAAGCAAAGAACTGGTTTTATTTTGATGTTTTATCCCTGTTTTATAGTGAAAATGCTAAAGAGTATTACCATTGTATGTGCATGTATGATGTCCAGCGTAGATGACTGCAACTTCACAGTGATGCCAGCAAGGTGAGACAAATACTGGTATATTGTAAGAAATGAGATGATGAAGTCAAATGTTGTCATGGTAGCCAATATTTGTTGAGCATCACTGCGAGTTGCTGGATCCCAGTTGATGTACGCCGGATAATCCTCCAGGTGCATCCGATGGCCAATCACCTCCAAGGTTTCTACAATATAGAGATACCCCTGATAGAAGCGCTGGTACGCTGACTGCCGTTCAGCCCATCTGGTGCGACATAAATCAAGAAGAACTTTCCTTCTCTCTATGTCAGGAACATGCTTCTTCACCACTTCCTTCAAGAGACCTGATCTTTTTGGACTATGATGGAAGAATGAACAGCAATACTTAAGCCTGTCTATCACACTTCGTATCTCTGGAATACCACAGGAATGCCCTATCACCAAGTTGAGACAATGGCTGCTACAGTGCGTGTATGTTGCAAGTGGTGCCACTTTTTTGATCTCTGCTTGAACACCAACATTTTGTGAAGACATGTTTGCCGCACCATCATAACCCTGGCCACGTATGTTGCTGGGATCTAGGCCAATTTTCTCAATTGTCTGTAGAATTGTCTTGGCAAGATAAACACCTGTAGTGTGGGAAAGTGGCACAAACGTCAGAAACTCCTCTCGAATGTTGCTCTCTCTGTCCACAAAACGCACACAAAATGCCATGTGTTCAATGTTGTGTGATGTTACTTCATCAGCCAGGATTGAGTAGAACTTGGCCTCCTTAATTTCTGTGACAAGACCGCTGAGAATGAAGTCATTTCCCATAATGTCCAAAATCTCATTCTGCGTTTGTGGGGATATGTATGTTGCATTCTTCATCATAGGTGAGGCTAGATGATTTTTCACAGTTTCATTATGGTTGGCAACTAATTGTAGCAGTCTCAGAAAATTCCCAGGATTTCTCTCTTCATTAGGTGTCTCTACATGACCTCGAAGTGCAATGCACTGCCTGCCACAATACAAAACAGTCTCAGCCACGGCTTTTACCACTTCCCGATTGTTCCTCACATTATCAGCCTTCCGCTTGTCCAGTAGTGTCCTGACATTTGCTGCTGGTTTCTCCATTGAGGACAGAAACTCATCCTTTAGCTGAAGAGCCTCCTGGTGGTACTTTGAACTCTGATGTTCACGGCACTTTTCTGCTTTTTTCTGCCATGCTGTAAAAGGGCGGGTGACAAACGATCCTTTTGCAGAACGATTTGTGCAGAACAGTGAACAGCCCAGACAGAAAACACCATCCACATTTTGGCTATAAACCATCCAGTTGAACTCTTGAAGCCAAGAGAGTTTAAATGACCTGTAACATCCACCTGTATAAGTTTTTGGGAAAATGTAGTCCGACCCTGGTTTGACGTGGTTCTTCAACATCATGTACTTGTCCCCAGGTGACATGTTGTTAATAGCCTCATCTATTTCAGTGTGACTCATGGTGGCTTGGATGACCTTTCCAATGTCATATGAAGACACTTGTGGACCTGTGAAAAATTTATCTATTTAATATATCTATCTAATAAATCTATAGATCTGCTTCCAGCTTTTTATACTGACCTGTGTAAATGGACTGCGTTTTCAGCTGATCATCGTTACTTCTTTCAGCATGGAGGCAGCCATCTTCATCATTAGAAGCACTGGTACCCACCAAACTTGCACTGCCTTCATCTAAATCAACAACATATGACACGTGAATAAGAGGTTTTAGAATATTTTTTAGACACTTCTAGCATTTAAATAATTATATCAAAATATTTAATATTTAGCTAAAAGAATTTACAGAAATACATTCTAAATAAGAAAATATTTGTTCCTGAAATCCTAGAATCAGCACTGCTTAAAGTACAGAATGACATTCTTCTGTCCCTGGATGCAAGAAAACCTGTTCTGCTGGTAATGTTGGACCTCTCAGCAGCTTTTGACACCGTAGACCATCAGGTACTAATCACCCGTTTGGCCTTCAGGGAGTTGTGCTTGAGTGGTTCAGATCATACTTAACAGACAGAACATTTTCTGTCATGATAGGTGATCTGTCCTCCTCTTCATCAATCCCTCTGACATCTGGTGTACCACAGGGATCCATTCTGGGGCCAGTTCTCTTTTCTCTTTACATGCTGCCATTAGGACCAATCATTGCTCGCCATAATCTGTCTTTTCATCTGTATGCAGACGATCTACAAATCTATCTGCCGGTCACTCTCAATCCCTCACTCAGTTCAAACGCTATTGTCAACTGCTTAAATGACATTAAGCACTGGCTCTCTCAAAACTTTCTCCACCTAAACACTGATAAAACTGAATGCATTTTATTTGGTGCATCCAGTGACACCAGTAACATCCCTCCCAGTCCCAGTTTTCCGCTCCCCCACTTCAACCATGTGGTAAGAAATCTTGGAGTGGAGCTTGACTCCAACTTAAAGCTGGATAAACAGATCAGTTCTGTTGTCAGAACCAGCTTCTTTCAGCTCCGTCTGCTCTCTAAAGTAAAGGCACTCCTTAGCCGTAGTGATCTGGAGAAAGTCATCCATGCCTTTGTGAGCTCCAGGCTTGACTATTGTAATGCTTTATACATTGGAATTAATCAGTCTTTTATCTCCCGTTTACAGCTTGTACAGAATTCTGCCGCCCGCTTTTTAACCAACACACGAAAATATGAACACATCACTCCTGTCCTGTCCTCTCTACACTGGCTCCCGGTTCAGTTCAGGATACAGTTCAAGCTGCTGCTGTTTGTTTTTAAAGCTCTGAATAGACTTGCACCTCTCTACATATCTGAACTTTTGAAAGTCGACCAGCCCAGCAGAGCTTTACGTTCTGCCAGTCAACACCTGCTGGAGGTGCCTTGCTCAAGGTACAAACAATGGGGAGACCGGTCCTGTTCTTTTGCCGGCCCAAAAGCCTGGAATAGTCTCCACTTTGAGCTGCGTGTCACCTCTGATCTGGCTCTGTTCAAAACCAGACTGAAGACCCACTTGTTAAAAAAAGCTTTCAGTCTGTAACTTTTATTACTTTTGGTATTTTAGTATTTTTATTTCCACTGCCTCCTTTTATTGCTGCTGTTTTTATTTTCACTGATTTATTGTACCTGTTTTTATATTTTCTGTCCTGTTAAGCACCTTGATCAATGCAAGGCATTGTAGGAAGGTGCTATACAAATAAAGTTTATTATTATTATTATTAATTCTAAGACATATTATTGACAAATCTATTTTACAAGAAGATCTGTTTTATTTATCTTTTTTTACCTGGAACTCTCGGTTTCTTTGAAACAAAGTTGAACATTGAAGCACAACCTTCAGCTGCTCTTTTCCTCTCTCTGTCCTTCTGCTTGCACCTACCCATCAAGGTTGGTATCCAGCACAGAAACCTGAAAAACAGTTTTTCTGAATGTTTGTTCTTTTGAAAAATTATCCAAACATTTATTTTTCACCATATTCAACACTGCTAAGTTATTGTATACATGTATCCTGTCCAAACTAAGCCTGAGACCTGTAGCTTTTGTTTAGAAAAAACATGGACGCTCCGTTTCAGGCTTCCTGTGATTAACTGTGTCCTATCACTGTAAACTTAGCTTTAGGGATAGAATGGGGGTGACACTGGTACCAATTTCAGATAAATTACTGTTCCCAACATGGCGGAAATAGACAAAAACAAGGAAAAAAAACATGGCGAAAATCGTCGTCACAAACTTAGCTTAGCTATAGCATGTTTTAGCATTATCCCATATCTTATAAAAACGTGACCCACTTCTAATCTCTCTAACATCAAACGGTACTACTTTAAATACACAAATGAACAGTTGAATCAAAAACCACAATGTAATTTTACCGTTTGAATCCACCGTGTTGCCTTCCAAGCCAGGACAGAGTGAACGTCGTCTTCACCTCGCAGTTCTATATCTGGCGGGAGTTGTAGGTGGGACTTCATTGGCAAAGTGGGCGGTTCGTTCGAACCCCCCGAACCCCCCCTGGCTACGCGCATGCAACAGACACCATCTTTGCTTTGAGGATGCTGATGGAGAAGTACAGAGAGGATCAGAAAGAACTCCAGTGTGTTTTTGTGGATTTAGAAAATACATATAACAGAGTGACAAGGGAGGAGGTGTGGTATTGCATGAGAAAACCTGGAGTGACATAGAAGTATGTTAGACTGGTACAGGACATGTATAAGGACAGAAGGACAGGGGCAATGTGCTGTAGGAGTGATGGATAGCTTCAAGGTGGAGGTAGGAGTGCATCAAGGATCAGCTCTGAGCCCCTTCTTGTTTGCTCTGGTGATGGACCGACTAACAGAAGAGGTCAGGCAGGAAGCCTCGTGGACTATTATGTTTGCAGATGACATTGTGATCTGTGGTGAGAACAGGAATCAGGTGGAAGAGAACTTGGAGAGGTGGAGGTATGCACTTGAAAGAAGAGGAATGAAAGTCAGCTGTAGTAAGATGGAGTACATGTGTGTAAATGAGAGGGAGGCTGGTGGAACAGTGAGGCTACAAGGAGCAGAGGTCACAAAGGTGCAGGACTTCAAACACTTGGGGTCCACTGTCCAGGAAAATGGGGAATTTGGTAAAGAGGTGAGGAAGAGTATTCAGGTAGGATGGAGTGGATGGAGAAAGATTTCAGGAGTGATTTGTGACAAAAAGGTGTCAGCAAATGTCAAAGTAAAAGTTTACAAGACAGTGGTGAGACCAGCTATGTTTATGGTCTGGAGACAGTGGCATTGACAAAAAGACAGGAGAAGGAACTGGAAGTGGCAGAAATGAAGATGATGAGGTTCTCCTTAGGAGTGACAAAGATGGATAAGATGAGGAATGAGATCATCAGAGGTACAGCACAGGTTGAAGAACTGGGAGCTTCAGAGTTTGAGGTTCACCGTTTTTATGTTTCTGTATTTTATTTTTACTTTGCGTTTCCTTAATGCCACAAGATGTCTTGTTTTCTCGTTCTTATTGTATTTTACATTTTTATTTGACCGAACAGTAAAGCTCTTTGGTCAGCTTGTTTCTTTATGTATTATATAAATAAATTGACAAGTTTGTTATGTGTTTTTTGCAGAGCTGCAGTTAATTTAAAATAGCAGACAGCATAACATGTAAATTTGTCCTGTAGCAGAACTTGTAGGCAACATTTTCCTGTCATCAGGGCCTCAAGCCTTAGTCCTGGACGTGTGTGTGTGTTCCTGGTTCAAGGCGACTGGTGTCGATTAAACCTTACATGGTCCCAGAAACATAAAGATTTGTCTTGTAAACACCTGAGAACATAAATACCTACCAAATAAATTAGATTAAAATGGTGTTGTTGCCGATTAGCTTTGTTGCAGCTTGCCCCTGCTTCACAGCGCAGGCAGCACAGTCCAGACGTCTGCAGTGACTCTTCGTGTGACCAGAGACTAAACGCAGCAGAAACCACAACAATAATCAAAACAAGATTTTCCTGTTGCACCACCACAAACAAAAAATGCCAAAAATCACTCAGCTACTGGTGCAGGAAAACCGCAGCAGCAGAAAGTGACACTTTTTACATCATTATCTGTGTTTTCTTTATAGGAGAAAAACTTTACAAAAGCTTTAGGGGTAAGTATGAATAAAAGTTCACACAACTCCCATGAAGGGTTTCCTGTTTAGATTTTGATTTCACCATAAGTTCAGATCAAAAGGTTTCCTTAGGTTCTTAAAGCCCGACAATGTCTTTTTTTATTTTGCCAAATATTTACAAGGTTTGTAATTTATACAAACCAGATACAGCCTTAAAAAATAAAATTTAGTTTAAAATTTTAATGGCAAAGATTTAGTCTCGTTTATTCATAAATATTCACTGACATCTTATCTTCTTTAACATGACTGGACATGATGCCACCAAAAGTCAACATCTTATCTTTTTACATTTAATATTAATAATAATAATAATGTCATCACATTGTCATTACTGTATGTTTCCATACAATGGAGAAATTAGTCTCTGCATTTAACCCATCCACCACCAGGTGGTGCAGTGGGCAACTATTGAAAGCGCCTGGGGGTCATTTTGGGGATAAGGTGTGCTGCCCAGAGACACCACGAGGTATGCAGTGACCGGGGATCGAACCTGGGACTTTCGGGTCCCGAGCCGGCAGCCCTGCCTCTACACCATTAATTACTATGAAAAATTAACAGAATAGGAAAATAAATTAATCCGGAAGCACAAATGTTTATCCAGTTTTTTTTCTCCTCATATTTATCCAGATATGCAAGACACTACAAAAATGTCTATACTTTGAAGTCTTGTTCACAAGACACCACAGTTCAGGACACTTTCCAGCCGTCTCGGTGTGATTTCTGAATGGACCGACATGGCAGAGGATTTGAATTTACCCACCCAAAGCTCCTTTGTGTTGTGAAGCAAGGTAGCAACAGAGGCAAAACGTTCCACATGTGAAAAGGTAAACCAGCTGTGCAGCACAATGTGATGACGTGATGACATTTGGTCGATTCACTACACTGAGTTAATTATCATGATTTGAAAACAATACGAGGAAGATGTCCGCCACACATTTATTGTGTTGCGCTCCGGGTCAAGGCAGCAGAGTTTTGCTCTGTGCCTCCTTTGGTTCCAGGATGCCCGCTTCTTTTCTGACTGCTTGTGCCTGAGCAGGTCATACTCATCTGCGATTTATGAAAAACCAGAAACAGCTTAAAGATGGACTGGTCTGTGCGGCCAGTTTGTGAAACAGTTTCGTTAAAGTGACAATTCATAAGCCTCAACACAACCGTACTTTTAGAAAACTATCATCTTTGTTTTGTTTTCCGCTTGCGTAAACAAATAAGACGTCATTAACGAAAGAAAATTCAAAGTTTTAACTTTGCAAAAATCTTTGTGTAAAAATCTCATGCTACAATGTGGACACCTGCAGCTTAAAGACAAGTGTGGCCTATATACGTCTTCTTTTTTTAAAATTGTATTTAGTGGGCGTGGCTTATATTCAGGTGCGCTCAATAGTCCAGAAATTACAGTATAAATAAATAAAAATTCATATGGAGCCTGTGTATCACTCAAAGATAATACTTTATGTGTCTCATCACAGAAGTTTCAGCATGTTTACTTTAAAATGATGACAGTTCTTTATCTTAAAAAAAAAAAAACTAAAATGAAGACGACAAATGACACAAGGTCGCAAGGGAAAAATTTAAGGCTGTTAAATTCTCAGCTTAAAAAAAAATTAAGATCCCAAAAAAAACTCACAGAAAGCAAAAGCTAGTATAAAATTAAGTTTAAAACAAGCTATCATGTCACTTTTAATAAATAGATTACATTATTTAAAAAAATGTATATCTGATTACTGTCCCAGAACCTTTAAATCCAACCACAGAACGAGAAAATTAGCATGGCCTGAATTTAAAGCAACACATATTATATTGTCTAACACAAATACGGAGCGCTAGCTTGCTTTGGTCATTCCAAATCTGACAGATTCCTCGATAAAACTTAAAATGGAAGACCAGCGTCCATGTGAGCTTTGCTTTATTAGAGACTACGACATAACTCTGGGGAGAAACAGGAAAAAAATAGCCTTTCTTCATCTCTTCAAGTGAATTTAAATGTTTAAAGATTTTCAATTCAGAGCATGTTTTTAGAAAAGCACAGCTGCTTCATGTCACTCAAGTAGTTTTACTGTTATTTAATGTTAATATTTATTGTTTAATTCTAAATGACACACTCTTAAAATAAAACAAACATTTACTGTAGTGTGTTGAATCAGTTAGAAGATACCAGAATAAGGTGACCGGTACACCTGAGCAGCACACTAGTTTAAGTATGCATGCTTAAACGTCAAAATGTTCCATTATTATGAAATACTTTATCAAATTACCAATTTCAGACATGATACAAGTAATATTAAAGAATACAGATTAAAGCAGCTTTAAAAAGATGCTGCAGCCTCACAAAACACCTGCTTTCAGGAAAACTTCCACCTATAAATGAGAAAAAAGAAAGGGGGGAAAAAAAAGATGAATTCACAGAGTCAGTGTTCGACTGCGCCCAGGCTCATCGTAAAAGGCCGTCGAGGTTGCAGCAGAAGCTTCTTCCAACAGTTGCAATATCAAAAATAAGAGCAATGTCTGTTTTCTGTCAGACACTCTGTGAGAGTCAAAAACTACCTGATGCAACAAGTTTGTGTCAGGTTGTCCTCAGATTCTTGAAAATTTCTGTGATGATTCAGGAAAACGATCCCTAAAGAAACAAACAAAAGAAGATGTTAGCAGATGAAACCTGTTTAAAAGGTCAGTGAGCAGCGGCTAAAAGAGGCAGCATCTCAACCAGAAACTAGACAGAACTTCCTGTTTTGCAACCCCATTTCTATCTTAGGATGTGACATTTTCCTCTTTCTGCAGCTCAGCTTCTAGAACCGTCTGCTTCATTGCACTCTGCCTTCCTGGGCCTTTTTTCCCTTCTCTAGATACCGTATTTTCCGGCATAAGTCACAGTTTTTTTGCATAGATTTGCCAGTCCTGCGACTTATACGCCGAAGTGACTTATACACGTTTTTACCCCCCGCATTCATAACGCAATTTTTGACTGACGCTTTAAATGTTCATTCAGACTGACATGAACCAGAGTAAACATTACCATTTGTAGCAGCTAGAGGCGCAAGAGGGCCCTTTAGGCTTTTGACAACTACCAGTGGGCGAACCGTATTTTCCACCGTACACGTCGTTCCGCCCTATAAGTCGCATCAGTCAATATTTGTCTAATAAAGAGGAAAAAATCCATAACTATGTCGCTTCGCCGTATACATCACATCTATTATACGTCACTGCAGACAACCTGGAAATGTGGGCCGATGTGCCAAAAATCGATGGGCTGCCAAATGGCAGCTGCGGGAGCGTGCACGGGAGGACGTTAACAAGAATTTAACAAGATTAAACACTTAAAAACAATTATATGTTTGCTCGAAATTATAGTAAAGGTGAGTCTCAGTCTAGTTTGCTTAATAAATGCACTTTGACGGTCAAATTAGATGCATTTCAAAAGCTGATACGCAGAAGTAAACACGTGCACGCGACGAGTCGCTGTGCAAATTTAACAAGATAAAAGTCTAAAAACAATTGTTTGCTCGAAATTATAGTAAAGGTGAGTCTCAGTCTAACATTTTCTTAATAAATGGACTTTAATGGTCAAATCAGCTGAATTTCACCAGGGCGGTGCAGCTGGTTTGACAGTTCCAAGCAGCAAGCAAACCAAAGGTGGGGGGACTTAGGCAGGCCGATTGGATCATTAATAGCTGGAGATTCTCAGTCATCCAGGACATGGTAAATTTAAAAAAGTTTTAAAAAAAAACAAACAAACAAAAAAAACAATAAAGTATAAAGTAAAGTATAATAAATACATTTCAGTTGTTTTTGTCTAGAACTTTTTTGAATTTGTCATTATAGCCACGGTTTACCTATTACAGGATACAACAGCATGCCTTACAGCTACTACTCCTGTGCTGCCATCAAGTGGCTGAAAGTGGTAATGCTCTATTTTTTTGTCAGAATGAATGAAAACAGTCATATCTCAGCCAAAAATTGGTTTATAAATATGGGAAAAAAAATCCATAAATATGTTGCTTCGGCCTATAAGTCGCAGGACATGTAAATTAGGCAAAAACTGTGACTTTTAGGGTGGAAAATACAGTAAATGTTCCTGTACCGCTACCCCCGCCACCAAACATTGACCATTAAAGTGCATTTATTAAGGAAAAAGTTAAATTGAGACACACCTTTGCTAAAATGTTGAGCAAACCAATTTTTTTAAAGTGTTAATCTTGTTAAATTATGAAGAACTGCAACAGCCACCAATCGATTTTTGGCACAACACCAGCCCACGTTTCCCAGGGGTCAGCTGTGACGCATAATAATAATAATGTCATCACAATGTCAGCACTGTACGTTTCCATACAATGGCGAAATTAGTCTCTGCATTTAACCCATCCAACACCAGGTGGTGCAGTGGGCAGCTATTGAAGGCGCCCGGGGGGTATTTTGGGGATGGGGTGTGCTGCCCAGAGACACCACGTGATGTGCAGTGACTGGGGATCGAACCTAGGACTTTTGGGTCCCAAGCCGGCTGCCCTGCCTCTACACCATCTCGGACCCCATGTAAACACGACTTATACTCCGAAGCGACATATAAGTTTTTTCTCCTCTTCCTGACCGATGCGACTTATACTCCGGAAAATATGGTAGCTACTCAGGTAGTGGAATCCTCCACTCGAGCCTGCAAACGGTCTGCAGCACCACCCGCTTGTCTTTCTAACGTCCAGACAAATCTCACCACTCCCTCGTGCTGTCTTCCCTGGCTTGTGAAGCAATTTCTTTGTTACTTTCAAAAACACAAGCAGCGCAGGGACATTTTTAAGCATTTTGTAAAATGAGCAGGGAAACAACCGGGCCCACCTTGTCCTCACTGCACCACACAGGCCGTGCAGCACTGCTCCTGCTTCTCCGGCAGCGTGGAGTAATTCATCTGTCGGACAATCTCTGCGAACAGCTCGTCCACCATGGTCTTGCTCTTGGCGGAGGTCTCGATGAAGGGGCAGCCCCACTCCTGAGCCAGAGCCCGTCCGTCTGATCCGGCCACCTCGCGCTCAGACTCCAGGTCCACCTTGTTGCCGACCAAGATCAACGGCACCTTCTCAAAACGCTTCACTCGCACTATTTGGTCTCGCATCGGCCGGATATCCTGATAGACGGACACACAGGGGAACATGAAAACTCTATACGGGTCAAAATTCTATCTGTCTGTTAGCAAAATATCCCAACACAACCAACTCAACTTAGAAAAAAAAGACTGGCTGTAATTGAATCATTGTTACAGATTTTCTGCTGAGATCTGATGGATCAGAGTGATTCGTTACACATTCAAGTGCTACACCTGGAAGATATTTGCCTAAACCTTTAGAATTAAATGTTGTAGTCAGTCTTGTTTGTCTGTTAGCAAAATATCTCATGGACCATAGGACAGATTTTAATGAAACTTTTAGGAAATAAAACATTTAACTGCAACTAATTAACTTTTAGAGTACAGCAAATCTGATTCAATATGTCCGAGACAGCTAACTGACACTATCAAACACACAAATGGTAATAACTTGGTTATACAGCTGCTAAACTTTAGTGTGGTAGTAGCAGAGAGTCACTCACAACAGACTCTGAGCATGACATTTGACAAGATTGCACATAATGTTCTATTTCAAATCTAGCCAAAACAGTTACAAACATTCTGATGCATGCTCAATAATCCAGGTAGAAAAATCTAAAAAAGTTAAATCTGGTCCTCTGGACATTGCTTTGTTTTGGGTTTTTTTTTTTGAATGTCCAGAGGACCAGATTTAACTTTTTTAGGTTACAAACAATATTTAAAACTCTGATTATATGCATTTCTTAAAGTTCTTCTTGACCAGAGGTCTGCAACCTGTGGCTCTGGGGCCACATGCAGCTCTTTAGTCCCTCATCTGTGGCTCTTTGAAGCTTTGACCAAAACTTACATGAACTTTATTTGTATTGGTTTATATACACGCAAAAAGGATGTTTGGACATTTTTTTGGTGTCAATTTTCTGCAAATGTTTCAATGATACTACAAATTTTTGCGTTATTACTTCACATAAAAGTGGGACTCATGTAGGCCTGCAGAGTTCAGTGTTTTTTATTTGTACCAAAATAATTAAATTAAAAAAAAAAAAAAAAAAATCCCTTCTTTGCACAAACATGGTCATTTTTTTTTGTCCTAATATGAAAAAATATCCATAAATGTTAACATTTATTTTAGATTTTTAGTTTTATAATGTCAAACCCACAGGCCAGAAAAGCCCTGCTATACGAACCTTGAAGTGGCCCATGGACCATCAGTTGATACTCACAGCTGTAGCAGGTTTTTCAGCTCCAGACACTTTTTGTAGTGAGCGAAGGGGTAGAAATGGCTGTTTTGATCAAAAAGTTAGCAGACCCCTGTTCTAGACCATTAACTGCTTTTGTGGCCCTTTGGTACATATTCAAAGAACACTGAAAGTATTAGCAACATAAAAACAAAGTTGTGCCCTCACATTTTCATCTTCATAGAGACGCTGCTATTCTTAAAAACAACACTACAGTTTCCTGGTTTAGTTTGGTGTTCTAGAATTGCGCCGCTCAAAGTGGCTGCATGTTGGAGCAGCTCTGTTACTTTCATTCTGACATTTTGCTTTTGGAAACTTTAATTCCTCTTTTTCTGGATGTAAATCACATTTTTTGGATGATTGTTTCCGCTGGTATCGGATGCTGTGCAGCTGGAAGGATTTTGGCTGAAACTTTTTTAGTTTTGGACATTTGTTATGATGCATAACCATGGCAACAAGGCAGTTTTCTACAACCAACAGCTGATTAACATCTCAAAGCTCAAATAATATGTCAACTACAACCCCACATCTAAAAATTAGTTGAAAAGGATGTTCTGTGGACGCATTCTCATCTACCTGCCAGCTGTGCTCGAGTGCCTGACCACTGAGATCCTAGAACTAGCAGGAAACACGGCTCATGACAGTGGAAGGACAGGATCGTCCCTCAGCGCCTACAGTTGGCTGTCCACAGCGACGAGGAGCTTGTCAGGCTGCTGGGAGGAGTGGCCATCGCTCTGGGAGGAGTTTTGCCCGGCATTCAGGCGGTCCTACAGTCCGGGGAACCGAGAGGCCAGCAGAGTCTGGGTGGACGGATCGGACGGCATCTGCAGCCAGTTTCTTAGGATCCACTGTGGAATGGACCTTTACAAGAGATCCTTCCTGCCTACAGCCTCAGTATCTATAACATCTCTTAATGAAATGAGGATAACGAGTTACAACAAATAATTTTCCTTTGGGATTAATAAAGTATTTTTGAATTGAATTTGAATTTAGTGAGTTTTGTGATATTTTGTTTTACCTTTTAAAAGCTACGTTTGGAAGATATAGTATTGTGTCATCAACAGATGAAACTACACTTGTTTTCTGTTTTAAAAGTTCTTTTTATGTCACTACAGAACCATTAGTCTAAAATACATTGATTCAGGAGGAACAGATACACAATGGCAGGTTGAGAATCACATGTTAAGATAGAAATGTTAAAATGAAAACTATTCAATTGTAACAATTCATTATAAGAAATTAGGTCAATTTGTCCTTTAGTAGTCTCAACCTATAGCAGCATAACAAGCCAACACTAACTATATGAGTTATCAAAAAGGAAAGTCTTAAGCCCAGTCTTAAAACTGTAAAATGTGTCAGCCTCACAGACAAAAAATGGAAGTTGGTTCTACAAGAGAGGAGCCTGATAACTGAAAGATCTTCCTCCCATTCTGCTTTTGGAAACTCTAGGAGCTGCAAGTAAACCTGCAGTCTGAGAGCAAAGTGCTCTGTTAGAAAAATATGGAAGAAAGATCTGTAATATAAGATGGAGCTGGGTTGTTGAGGGATTTGTAGGTTAGACGTAAGATTCTCAAACCCAGTCGGTCAACGCAGATGGCCACTTGTCCTGAGCCTGGTTCTGCTGGAGGCTTCTTCCTCATGAGGGAGGTTTTTCCTTTCCACTGTCGCCTTTATGCTTGCTCAGGATGAGAGTCTGCGATGGAGTTACACTCAAGGGAGTCTGCTCCTCTGATAAATCATATTAATTTACTTTTTTATGTGTATGGATATTTCTGTACAGTGCCCTGAGATGACTTCTGTTGTTACCAAACTGAACTGGGACATGTTTCTCTAAATGCCTGTGTTTGCTTGTTTACACGGCTCAGCCTGACCGTGGGGTGGTGTTTGTGCGTGTGTATTCTCACCTGGAATGACTGCTGGTTGACCAGGCTGTAGACCAGTATGAAGCCCTGGCCGTTCTTGATGTACAGGTCCCTCATGGAGGCGAACTGCTCCGTCCCCGCCGTGTCCAGGATCTCCAGCACCGAGGGCGACGAGTCCACCTCGATCTCCTTCCGGTAGAAGTCCTCGATGGTGGGGTCGTACTTCTCGATGAAGGTGCCGGTGACGAACTGCACCGTGAGGGCGGACTTCCCGACGCCGCCGCTGCCCAGAACGACAACTTTGTATTCTTTCATTGGGGCGGTGGAGGCCGGTGCTAGCTCAGCAGCAGCAGCTATACTCCCTCCATAAAACACCCACAGGGCCTTTAAAAAGCTAACAGGAAAACTGAAAACACCTAGGATACATAAAACAACCCCCGCTCGTTCACATGAACCAGTTCCTGACACTCATGCTTCTTCTGTGACCGTGCTTCGGCTTGTTTAGTTGGCAGTAAAGCTACCTCCAGCCTGGCTGATTTCCAGCTGTTCCATAGCGGAGCTTCGAACCTTCGCCACCCGAGCAGGAACACCGAATGTCGGCTTGGACTCACCGGAGAACTCGCTGTCTATCCGCCGACAACAAGTCACGGTGATCCACAATCAGCAGCCGAAGGCCACCATGGCCCTCCCGCCACCCTTCCCTCTTCTCGCTGGCTGGGGTGTCGCAGCGCTGCTTAGGACCCGAGTCTGGGCCTGGTTCTGGTTCCGGCTCGGGGGGGCCGCAGCCTCGGCCCTCGAGCGTCCTATTGACGCAGGTTCGGTGCTGTAATCCAGCGGTCCATTATCTACGGTTTCCTGCTGCTCCGGCGTCTCATGGACTCATGGAGGGCAGGTTTTCTGGCAAAAAGAAAATCTTTTCCTCCCCAACTGATTTCCGGAAGTTAACAGGCTGCTTCCGCATCCTCACAGTTTTTCACAATAAAAGTCCCTGTAGAACACCAGAGGCCATTTCACAACTAAACTAAAATAAAAGATTAAGATGGGATTCTTTTCATTATCATCCTGGTTTAATCTATCCATAATTAGGGTTTACAACTATAGTAAACCTCTACTACTTTTATTATTACTGTTATTATTAACAATAACACAATTTGAACAGAAACTGTCCAGATGGCCTGACTGAATATTGTTGGAATTGTACCTGGATTATTGAACATGAACTTTGGTGTTTTGAACCACTTTGGCATGGCTACCCCAGAGGAGTTGACAGGGGAGAGGGCAGGCCCCAGAGGCCATCGTATCATCAGAAAACTGTTTTTTTCCCCACTAGAGTGAGCTGCTTGTGAGACTCAGTTTGAGTTGTGGCTCCTCAGATTGACGAAGTCCTTTGGCTCAAGGACGAAACGTTTCAGCAACAAAAGAAACCGTCCAGATGACCTGTATCCAGGTAGTCTCATTGAGCCATATATATATATATATATATATATATATATA